AGAATTCGTTGAGAACAGTACAAATATGTCTCATGTAGTCAAGCACCAGTGAACCAAAATTTGCTGTTTTCTTACTAAATTTTCTTTTCTTTCTGTTCTAAGTACTGCAATTTTTGATGAATAAATCCGCTTCAGTAGGTTTTTTCTAGACATTGTGCAAATAATTCTATTCAAAAAGTTTCGAATCGTAAGAATGAAACTGGAAATACCTAATTTAAAAGGCAAAAGTTGATAGTATTGAGAACAGAAAGAAAAGAAAATTTAGTAAGAAAACAGCAAATTTGGGTTCACTGGTGCTTGACTACGTGAGACATATTTTTACTGTTCTCAACGAATTTTCATTCTATAGGGCTGAAACTTTCAGAGTAAGTTAAGTAATCAAAGATGTACCTATGTTATAAATATGAGCCCTAACTGACGAAGTATTAGACAAAAGTCGAAAAAAATACAGTTTTTCCTTACTTTTGGGCCACCCTGTATATATATCTTTTGATTAATATTGTTTTTTTTATCTTCATTCGTTGTATATCAGAGTTGATAAAAATAGATTTGTTTGTAATTCTGTCTGAAACTGAAACTCTTTTGCTATCAGGGGCGGCGCGAGCAGGGGGTGGGGTAGGGTACCCCTTCTGCTTTTGAAAATTTCGTTTTTTTTGCTCAACTATTACCTCAAAATTTGATTTTTTTCCCATTTTCTCCGATTTTTCGAAATTACCCCCCCCTCCTGAATTTTTCCTTTTTACATTTTCTCCCATTTTTCGAAAATACCCCCCCGCCCCCCCCCCCCCTTTGCTTTGACCTCTTCGCGCCGCCCCTGTTTGCAATTAAGTATTTCCTGTTTAGTACATTTATCATGAAGAAAGAAAGACTAATGATGCTAACACGAGAAAAAGTCATTAGAAAACCACAAGTATTGTTTATCATTCTAACTAACCAGATTTCTTGGAAAACTATTAAAGAAAATTATTTTTCTACTATATATTCTAAAAGGTTTTACAAAGTTTTGAATCTTTTTGTGTATTAACTTTCAACGCCATCTATAATTCAATTCTTACTTTAACATCTTCCGTTATAACCAATGAAAAGTACACTACTGTAGTATGATAAAAAAAACCCTATGGTAGTTTAACAGAGCATACACACACTCTCACCTACGTGTCATACATTGCATTATGAGATCAAGCCAATTAGTGAGTAGGGTATGTGTAACCTGTAGAGAAACAGAGTCCTTATACACTATACATATACTCCTGCATGCACGCACATAACTCAATTACACACCACACAGAGAAATAATGAGTGAGAGTGTGTGTATTGTGTAGAAGTGCCAAAAGTCGAATTCTGAAATCACTTATATTATTTCAGATCCTTCGAATATCATGGATAATCGTCGATCAAATCGTGTTCATAGGTATTAATCATTTTATATTTACTTTTCTATTCTATAAAATTAATATTAAAGATTTCAATCAAGATTTATTACACAAATCGATGATGCTCTACCTGATTACATGAATTTAATAGGAATGATTTGTTCTATGTGTGCATTAATGCTCAAGGTAATCAACAACAACAAGAATATTTTATATAGAAATATTAATTCTTGAAGTGAATTCTAGATTAAATGGTGCGCATGGATTGCATTATTTGCTGGTAAAAATTTCTTGAATAAAATCTATTTTTTTATTAACGATATGAATATTTAGCGTTGGTCGGTTTTGCTAATTCACGAGCTTCGGAAGATACTAAACAAGTTCTTAGCAGTTTCATGTATGTATTTTATATCTTATCATTCAAATGCATTGCTGTAATAAATAGTATAAAATCTTTAAAAGAATATCATTTTAGCGAATGTAGAAATCATACTTATTCCCAAATTCTGATCTTTTCATCATAAATTATTTTTGTTGATGTATTGCACAGAATAGATTCTTTGTTTCATAGTGAAAAACTTTAGTTAGGATCTTATTTCTTTTGAAGGCAATGCTTCTATCATACACAAACCACGATTTCAAGGAGTACGACTTATCTGTTCTTCGTTTAACTTATTATAAGACTTAAGTCTTTGTAGTTTATATAAACTTTCAAAAATCGAATCTAAATCTTTTTCAAAAATTGTATGTTGCATACACTATCCATGGGAAAGGGTGTATATCTTGAAAGTCTTATGTATCACAGAGACGTTGTTCAAAACTTCTGAATTTTTTTTATGAAAGTGATTTCAGTTAAGTGCACTACGTACAAAAAGCTTCAGATCACAATTCGGCAATACCAAATTTCTGAAAAATCTGAGGTTCAGAAAATAGATACATTAAAATTTCTATAACTGAACAAGGTAACATATTCAGCTGTCAGACGATATTCATTTTCATAATTTGGACATAATAGGACTTAGTGGAATTTAATAAAACCCTAAATGAGTTCGTACACCATGCATTACTCAGTTAGAGTGATGATCGTTTTATTAGGTATTTGTTCTCTGGGTCACCAATCCATAGTAAGCTGAGCTACGAGATTGTTATCTGAAATTTTTTACTCATAGATAGATTTTACGGCCACCAGAATATCCAAAACACTTCAGCGCAAATGTATGTATTCTTGTTGAGGCATTGAGAGTTCAATAAATGTTTATATATTTAGTGGGCAAACCAAAGCTAGGCAAAGTACTCGAAGTACTCGTACTCTAGTACGATTTTTGTGGTACTCGTATTCGGAGGGTCAGTACTCGTATTTGCCCAGCTCTGAGACAAGTCATAGCTTCAAGTTGTCTCAGACATAAGAACCTCAAAAAAATTCGTTTGAACTGAAATTTTCATAATATTCTAGTGGCTATAAGACCTGTTTATGGGTGAAATTTTACATGAAAATCTTCTAATTGAATTCTTCATAAATAGCTGGGTCAGAGACTGAACACTTAGTGAAATATTCATAACTTTGACTGAATGATGCTTGGAACGGAGCTTTTCATCCTCATTAGTTAAAAACCAATACGAACCTAATATCTTTTCAGATTTATATTTGAACACTATGTAGTATTTCTAGGCAAAAAAAATGATCGAAATCGGACTGGGATATCAGAAGAAGTTTCTTAGTAAGTTCTTTTGATAAAATCAGTTAGTAGAATTTAAATAGGTCAACATTATATATTTACATCTTTTCTTACTACATATCAGAGTGGGATAACATTTATTTAATGAGTCTTAAACCTACTAAATGCAGAATATGTGTTAATAGAAAAATTTTCATTACCTATTTTCTATGTTTAATAAGAAACAAAAACAATGAATCTCGTCTTTGTTTAGGCTTTCAATATCTGCTGTTGTCATTACATACATGCAAAATCCTGCGCCAATGAAAATTCCATTTTTAGAATGACATGTTTATTCTTTAATTTTTTTTAAAATTTGTTTACATCTCGAATAAAAGAAAAAAAAAATATCCAGTAATTTAGTGTTATTTTTTAGTAATCTTTTTCTTTATCATAATCAATTGGTTCTCCAAGAAAAATAGTTGATGATAAAATATGATTTAATGTATTTTGAAGATCACGTCGAAGTATTTCATTTGTTGATCGTAATATATTAACATTAGTTTTTAATAAATTTTGTTCCGTATCATTATTAATTAATTGAGTTAATTTTTCATAACGTATTGATTCTTTATCAATTTCATCATGTAATTGTTGACAATCATCTTCTAATTTTTGAATAACATATTCATATTTATGTTTTTCTTCTGTTTTATATAAATATTGTCTTAAACCATAAGCCATACCACTTTTATAAAGTTCTTCATATGTATTCATCCATTGTACATATTCATTTTTAATTCTTCCAAGTAAAAGACCACGTTCTGTGCATTGAAGTGTTATTAAACGAATAAGTTCATCAAATAAATCATCATAAATTCTTCGACGTTTTTGACATAAACCTATTTCAAGTGCTTCTTCATTATATAACATCATATGAAAACGTTCAATTAAATTATTAAGATCATATTGTGTATTTGGCCTTGTTGATGGAAGAAAGACTTCTTCATTTTGTTGACCAGTTAATAATTTTTTTTGACGATTCATATCAGCATATATTGGAAATAAACAAAGAAATATATAATCTTTATTTATTCGACATGAAAATAGATCATGTTTTAATTGTTCATAGATACCATCTGAAACATAGAATGATGTTGGTTGCCAAATGTCTTCTAAGTTTTTCAAAGGTAAATTGCATTGTTGACCAAAGATATCATATTCAAGTATAAAATCTTTTGAAAAGAATATACAAGAAAAAAAAAACTGATACAATAAATCGTTTTTTTGTTTTTTGAAAATCTATACCTTCATTTTCTTTTCTATCTTGTAGAGAATAGATGATTGGTGGTAATTTGTGATACATTTTTCGTATATGTGAAAGCATTTGTAATGTTTCTTGAGAAATTTTTGATGATTTCGAATATTTTAATAAACGATTTTTTGGATGATATTCTTCATGGATATTCAAATAATATGCATGTTCCATGATTATGAAACTATTTTCCGTTGTTGATGTCGTTTAAAATAAATCATAGCAATCAAAAAAGAAAAAAATCAATTCTCTTTTATTCGGCTCGTACGTTTTTTTCTTCTTTTCTTGATTGCACGACACGTTCAATCAACTTATTACTCGTTTAATAACTAATGCATCTTGTCAATTTAATATGGTTGAGAATTTGAACAGATGTAAAATAATAAGTTTTCTTTTCATTTTTCAGATGACAACAAAAGATGATAATATAAAAAATGAAAACGATATAGATGAATTAAAGAAATTGAACGAACTTTTTTCTAAACGTTATACTAATGAAGATGATGAATATGTTCAAATGATTCAACGTTCAAATAGTCCACCAGTCGTTCATGATTGGAATCAAGAAAGAAATACTCATCGACCACAACAATTTAATCATAATAATCATCACCGACGTTATTTTTCAAATGATCGTCAATCACATCGAAATTCTTCCAATCATTATCATTCATACCGAAATCGTAGTCGAAGTCCTCATCATCGTGATACACGTCGATAAAAATTGGTTTCTTTTTTTTTTGAAGTGACTATTCATTTGTCAAAAATTAATGTATTACTTTTTGATAAAATAGTTCTAAATTAGATCTAATAATAAAATAATGTATTTTAATGTTGCAATGTTAAGATAGATAGAGAGTTTTACATAGAATTTCGAATAATTCTAGATGAATTAGTGTATTCTTTTTTCATACTCAGTCACTAAGTTATTAAAAATTGATACAATGTTAGAACTAATATAACAGAAAAAAATAATATATATTCTGCTGTGTTATTCAAGAAAGAAATACTAAGATTGAATGTGAATTAAGGATGCTCTGAACAAGGAATGATCAGCATTATTTCCAACATAAGAAATTATGTAGAAGAAACCAAGTTTGAAAATAGTTTTTAAGCCTTGAAAATGGCAATAAAATAAAACCATGAATTTATACTATTATTAAGCTATTTTTTTTCAACAATAATTGTTTTTATCGATATAGTAGATCTCTTACAATAAGAATACAGTTATGAAATGTGCACATTTGATATACACTGTGTCATTATTATGATACATGTTTTTAACCTTGTAGTACATTCTAGATTGACACAATTTCAAGAGTAGCTACTTTACTTGCTATTAGACAGTTGTGGATCCATGTTTTTTGGGGACGTGAACTCATTATCCGTAACCACATATAGGTAATAATGTCTTATGACAAATATCATGTCCTACAACATTTTTTGAATTAAGTCATTTTATTAAGTAGCATTAGTTTAATGTTTCCCTATGTGAAAGTCACTTCATCATTGCATGTATGTCATCATTCTTTGCACTCGTAGATCTCCAAATGTTGTCATTGTAGTAAATTTTTCAAACTATTTAAGGCGGCTTCCTTCTCTGGATATTAAAATCAAAATTTTTTTGATTTTTGGTCTTTCATTATTGATATAACTTCGAAGTGTTATCTGTAAAATACCGTATAAATGAGGGCTCTTCGTTTTCACTTAATAGTTTTATTAATTCTAAATTCGCAAAATTCACCCAATGCTAATAATTATTTTTCACTCCAAAGATGCTGAGAGTTTTTCGTTTTTCTCGAAATAAATTTTTACAGAAAGACGTGCGAAATCACCTCTGGTTTTTCAGTCTTGTATGTCCGATCGCAGTGAAACTTTTTTTTACATGTACTGTACTGTATCGGATTGGTATTATTTTGTGGTATAAAAAATATTGCTTTGCTGGTTTTTGGTAGCTTCTACAAAAAAAATTCTATTCAAAAGAACGTGCATTTATTAAAGTATCTACGATATTTAGGCCTTTTTATTCGAAGAACAAAAAATAAAAAGACCTTTATTCAAAATAATGTTTAGTACTTGCAAAAAAATTTCCAGCTCTACCGAACATAGCATCTCAGCGGAAGGCGGACGAAAATTGAGGTCATTTTTCGTTATTGTGATTCTAGTATCTGACAGAAGATAATATCTGATAACTTTGAGTTTATGACAATGGTTACTTTACTCATCAAGACTTACCTGCCCTGAAACTGAAAATTTCAAATTTTTACTGATGAGCTGTTCTTCGGAAAGGGATCACATCCTTAATATTTTCTCATATAAATTAAAAGATTTAATCCTTGATTTAAAAAATCCAAATCTCTCATACCAAATTACTAATAATGTAAAATGAAATGCATATTTACGATCATAGTATATCTTTCAATCTGATAGTCTAGTCAAAAAATAATTGCTAGTTTATTATCATTACTCAACTACATCCATAGAAAATAATACAAGAGTTTTTTTTTACGGTAAATAATGACGACTAACAACACCTGGTCGAAGACTAGTACAAAACATAACTGGTGATATATCTTTGTCTCGTTTATAAAGATGTGGTAACCAAAGATTATGTATTTCATTTATTCTATCTTTCCATATGTCTCCAGCTTTATCATTAACTTGTACACCAATAGTTGTACCAAATTCTCTAAATGCTAATCGTCGATTTAATGATTCTCGAAAATCTCCATGTTGCCATAATTCTTCAAGTGCTTGTAATGATTTTGATGTTATTGTTTTTGCCCATTGTTCATCAGGATACCAATGTGTAATCCATAATGCTTCACCTAAATCAAGTGGATCTGATGAACGATAACGTGAATATTTAATATCGACCATTGATTTCATATCATCGATTTCTTTTTCTAATTCTCGTTCTTGAGCTAACTCATCAACTAATCGATAAGTTATATAACCATCATATGGATCAAGATTTCCTTCTGATGGTACAGCTGGATATGTTAAATCAATATTCATTTTCCAGTACATATGAAGTTGATTATTACGATCACGATAAATAAAACGTGGATGTATTGCTTTTATCAAATCAATTGCCCATCGTATATAACGTTGATCATTTTTTATTTTTGCCATTCGACTTAATGCAAATGCCCATTTTGTTAAATAATGAAAATATTCTAAAATTCTTTATGATGATAAGAATATTCAAAGAATATATTTATTTAAAACTTACGTCCATCACCATCATATGATCCTTCATCTTCAACTTTTCCGATACGTAATCCACCAAGAGTTGGATATTCATCTGTTGCTTTTCCTAAACGTTTTTTACCATTTCGTTCACGTCCAAGTACATCATGTACATTATTAATAAGTGCATCAGCTTGTTCAAGATATTTTATATCATTTGTTTCACGATATAATGTTAAAAAATTACAAACACCATATGCATCTGTCCATAAATAACGACTTTTATTATCAGCATATGGTTTTGGTATCCAATTTCCTTTCGTATATGTACCGTAAACTGTTTCGACAACTTTTAAAATTTGTTCAAGAACTGATTTTTCCATGATGAGATTTTCTATTGAAAAAAAACAAAGCAAAGAAAAATTATGCTTTTGACAAAATAAAAGGGCACACATGTATGTATTGAAATATCCTTCGAAATAAATTTGATATAAACTCATTATTGATTCAGATATATTGAAAGAGATCTGTATGAACATGACTGATGAATCTAGATAACTATAATTTTTGAGAACAAGTTCGAATTTAGATTTATATTGATTTAGATCCAGGGTTTATCTAACATACGACTGAAGTAATGCAACATTGAGAAATCTATGAAACCATTGAATTATTTTTGTGTTTTTTTCGGATTATGAAATATTATTTGATCAAAATATTTACAATAATAATTCCTAAACAGTACTTACTCGACGTTTATTGATATAACCGTTTACGCACTTCGACAATCATGGTGACCTATTTTTGTTTTGCTCGAAATTGATTGGACGTATGAATTAAACCAACAGAAAAACACATGGATATAATTTTAAGATAAGACAATATATATGGGCAATAACAATACAATGGAGAGTGACGAATACCGAAAAATTACAGGAATAATTGTTGGTTGTGGTAATCGTGGACAAAATTATGCTGAATATGCTCAACATTTTCCAGAACGTTTTCGTTTAATTGCTATAGCTGAACCACGAGAGGTTGTACGTAAAAAAGTACAAAAAATTTATTCACTTGAAGATAAATATGTATATGATGATTGGCATCAATTAGTTGATTCAAATGCTGAACGTCTTGCTGATTGTGCTCTTATAACATTACCGGATCGAGAACATTATGAAGCAGCTATACAATTAGCTAAAAAAGGTTATCATATTTTATTAGAAAAGCCAATGGCTACAAAGCTTGAACATTGTAAAGAAATTGTTCAAGTTTGCCGAGAGAAGAATGTTCTACTGGCTGTTTGTCATGTTTTACGATATTTACCAGTTGTAAAAAAAATTAAAGAGTTATTAGATAAAAATATAATTGGTAAACTTGTTTCAATTCAACATATTGAACCCGTTGGTAAAAAACAAATAAACAAAAACTATTTTTAATAAAAAATAATCGTTGAGATTGATTTTATTTATATAGGCTTTTGGCATTTTGCTCATTCATTTGTTCGCGGTAATTGGCATAATGAAAATGAAAGTTGTTTTTCATTATTAGCTAAATGTTGTCATGATCTTGATTTAATTCAATATTGGATGCAACCACGTCGATGTACACATATTTCAAGTTTTGGAAAATTAATGCATTTTAACCGTGAAAATAAACCAAAAGGTGCTAGTGACCGATGTTTAACTTGCTCTGTTGAATCAACATGTCCGTATTCAGCAAAAAAAATTTATCTGGAAAAATCTAATCGTCACTGGCCAGTTTCAGTTCTTGTACCGGATATTGAAGATAGTGACAATTGGGATCAAATTAAAATTAAAGTTACACATGCTTTGGAAAATGGACCATATGGAAAATGTGTTTATGGAGATTGTAATAATGATGTTGTAGATCAACAAGTAGTTATATTAAATTTTGATGATGGTAAAAAATGAGCTTTTCAAATTTGCAAGAGACGATTAGATTTTTCATCAATATAGGCAACGAGTAGAAGAAATGGAATATCTAATCGAAAACAATTTTTTATCTACAAGAACTTCGAGTAGACTTCGTCATTGGGATCCAAAATTTTAGAATCCGATAGGCCATAATTTTCATACATTAAGTATTCGATTTAAGTGAACAAATTGATTTCAATTTCAATTGACAGTATATCCCTAGTTTAGAAAGATAGATGGCACAACGAAAAAGTTCTTTAAGCACGAATCTTCCTGTTTAATATGAAATATTTTGTACTCTTTTGGAACTTGATGAAAATGTTCACTATACAATATTTTGGTAGATTTAGTTTGCTTTATAGAAAAAATGTCTTAAACATCGGCATACATAGATTGTAAAATGAATTGTTCTAAAAACGAAAAAGATAATCTTTACCTTTTATCATAGATCCGGATAATGTATAATTATCTACAATCAATATTGAAAATGAAGATATGAGTATAAAATACTCAATTGAAGATGTTAATCAAAATTTGACTACACTTCTATATTCCATAGTTAAATATACTTTTTCAAAAGCGACTTTCCATTTTTTTCATAGCAAAGGAACAACTATTTCAAATCATTCTGAATTCAAAAATAAATAATCTTTCATTTGCATTAGACAAAACAAATCATTGTTTTATTCGATTTTGACCTTTTTTGAAGAAATAAATTAAATTCTCTTTTTAAATATCATAGGAGCAACAGCAACCATGCAAATGGTTGCGTTCACTGAACAAGTATGTCAACGTACATCACGTATATTTGGTACTCATGGTGAATTAACATGGAAAGGTGACGATACATTAGTTCATTATGATTTTTTAACACAAAAACGTACAGTTTATGATGAAAGTGATCTTTCTGCTGCTGGTGTTATGCGTGGTCATGGTGGTGCAGATTTTTTTGCTATGGATTCATTCATACGAGCATTATCGTTAAATAAACCTGAATTAATTGGAACAGGACCTGATGATTCATTAATTAGTCATATAATAGCGTTTGCTGCTGAAGTAGCTCGAAAAGAAAATCGTGTTTGTAAACTCGATGACTTTTTGTGAGAGACAAAAATTAAAAAAAAAAATTTTTCCATTTTTGGTAGTTTGATTCATTTGTTTTTTAAGTTATCGATTAAATAATTCCGAACAATAAAAAATTATACGATTGATTAATTATTATTTAAAAATTCGCTTAAATTTGATGTCGTTGAAAAACATTCAAATTGTTCGAGATCAATAGATGATGAAAGATTTGTTGGCATTGTTACATCAAGATTTGATAGTGATGAATGATATGAAAGTTTTTGTTGATTTTGATTAAAATCAATTTTGACTGTTTGACTATCAATATTTGTATCAATACTTGTTAAATCAGGTTCAGATTGATTATTTCTTAAACAAGACAAAAGAGAAAAAGAAAATTTTAAGTTTACTTGTATTAAATTTCAAATACTTTTCTTTTCCATAAGTTTTTCGTATTGAATTATTTTCAAATTTTTCAATTAAATGTCGTACATTTACTGTTTGATCATTAAATGATAATGAGTCACCCTGGTCAAATTCAGAAGTTTTTACGATATATGATGATGATTTGATTACTCCAGGTTGAATATCTTGATTTAAAGGTAATGTCCATTGTATACCATATTTTATAGAAAATGGAGATATTTCACCGTTATTAATGACATTAATTATAGATAATTCTTTAGAACTATTTGTTTTCGATGAAGAATTTACCGCAATATCTTGACTGAGAAAGAAAACAGACGTATTGCTTATTAACAAAATAGGTGTTTAAAAATAAAGCGAGTAAATAAAAGAATAGATAATGTCAATTGATAATATGACATCTGAATATTGTCTGTATGATATCAAGCATGATTCAAACTTAGCTGAAGTTATCTAAACTGATTATCTTTCTCATCATACGATCAAAGAGTAAGTTTAGAGTTGTCTCATGCAATCATTTTTTTTCTCCTATCGTAGTGTCAACAACTGAAATAAAATTTGTTTGAACATTGGACAAACTAATGTTGAAAAAATTTCTCACTTGAATTCTTCAAAAGGTAAAATTAATGATGATTGATTGATATCTTCTTGTAAATGTTTAGTTATTATATCTGATTGTTCGATATTATTCAATGTATCATCATGAATAAATGTTACATCATGTTGTTTATTTTTAATATGAATAATTACAAAAGCAACAGCACTAACAAGAGCAATTGCTAATGATATACTTCCAATAAGTTCAATTATAACCATTAAATATCGTTATAACAATATTTTAAAATTATTTTATTCATTGTATAACGAAATAATATATAAACATAATTTTTTATTCATACTTTATCTATATTTTAAACAAGTTTGTTTAATTTTTATTGTTGCCTAAGCAATAAAGACCTTTCAAATAAAATAGAAAAGAACAGAATAACCGATATGAACAAAATGGTCATGCTTCGTTGAGTTGCTCGTTCAAGTGTTCTATAAGTTCAATTACTTCTTTTTTCTATGCACTTGTCATACATATATATACGTATATATACATACATATAAACTAAATTATTTTTTTCTAACGATAAACGAACTATTTCGGCTAGTGACACATATACAGGTGAATAGGAAATAAAAAACAAACTTATTACTATTTGTTTACTTTTTCTATGAATCAAGAACGTGATAATGATGAATGAAACAGTCGATAGTGTATATCGTTTCGTTACTGATCAATCATCATCAGCATATAATAAAATGAATTCATTCGTTGCATCACTTCGTCGTCGTTTTGATAAGGTACTTACAGCTAATGCTAATACAACATCAACAAATTCTTCATCTATGACAACAAATGACGGTGAGATATTATTGCTTAAAGAAGCTATAACAGATGCTTATTCTATGCTTGCTATGAAAAATAATAATGATTTAAAAAATTGCTTGCATGTTGCTGAAAATTTTCAAAAACAATCATGTTCACCTACTACTGCACGTCGTTTAATTAATGAAATGCGTTCATTTATATCTTTATCTCATTCAGATGAAAATTATTTACCAAGTATAAAAATTGATCAAACAAGAAAATCAGAAAAAAACTTCAATGTTTATGATACATTGAATAAACATCGACCAATAGTACGATCAAATCCAAATGTCAACAATATCAATAGAAACGAGGCGGGTAAGCCCGTTAATATGCAAAGACATTCGCTTCGTAGCTCTATGCGTAATTTAATAAAACGTCGTACAATAAAAGTTCCATCTAAAAAAATTCTAGGCTCATCTAACGATCCACAATCTCCACATATATATGAATCACTCGATCCACCTTCACCGGATGTACCATCAGCAATAAATTCAGTGCCAACATCGGATCAATCTTACACATTTCCACCAAAATTAAAATCATCTTATATACTTCCATCATCGATTGTTGTTCTTGATCATTTTACAACAAATCTTTATCTTGTTGTTAATTCAATATTAAATCAGTTATTTGTTGTATTTGGTTCAACAAAAATTCATACTATTAAATTGTATGATACAAATGGTAGAAAAATTCATGCAAATGATCTTATTTTACAATATAAATTTGAAGATTTACATGGTTATAAATTATTATCATCAATATTAAATAATAATTTACAAAATTGTTTAATTGTTAATGAGATACGTGTTTATGTTACTGAACCTTTAGATAATACTCCACCAAGTCAAACACTTAAACAACGTTTATTATTTTTTGATCAAAATGGTCATTTTATTTCAACATCAAAACGTTTACCAATAACAAATGAATTATTATTTGTTGAAGTTGATCGTTCAACATCATCAATATATGTATATGATGGTTTAAATTTAATAAATTTAGATCGTAATTGGTCAATAAGTATTGAAAATATTAATTGTATATCATCTGGTTCAACATTTCTTGTTTGTTTACATTCAAAAACAAATCAAATAAGTATATATAATAATCAAACAGGTTCATTTATATATCGTTGGTTAATAACAACACCAAATATTCATTATCTACAAACAGTTTCTTTATGTGTATCCCGTCAAGATTTGATTTATGTTTTAGTTTGGAATTGTGATGTACATCCATATAATAATCATGTACTTGTTTTTGATCAAGAAGGACAATTACGTCGAGAATACTATATTCCAAATCGTATTATACCAACTATACATGGAACATATACATATGAGATGACACTCGGTGGTGGACATCATGCGACAAATCCACTCGCCAATATAATACGTCAACCATCAAGAAAACCAGATCCACAAGCAATGGCATGGATGCAGCGACAAGTTATGTGGAATGCTAGTCATAGACTTCCATCATCACATATGTGGGCAAATAATTCAGCATCAACATCACAGATGCAACCATTTTATCATGGAATGGGAAGTCCTTATGATATGTATCATCAACAACAACAGTCAACACAAGATGATAATACACTTTTTCATGCACGATTTGTTGCTATTACGGATGATGATACATTAATTTTGTCGAATATAATTGATCTTGGTTTAGATGAAGAAACACAAGAAACAGCTGTCGTTAATGTTAGTCGAAAAATTTTATTTTTTCATTTGGATACATAATTTCATGTGTATGTTTTATATTGATGTATAAAGACCAAAAGAAAAAAAAAGAAAATCAAACATTTGGTTTTCTTTTTTTTTGAGATACTTCCTATTCTTTTATCTTAATAGAATCGTTTTCTATTTTATGCTCTTTTTTCTCATTTTTGATACAAGGAAACAAATGAATCATTAAATCCTGCATTGACGAAGCTTATATGTATCGGATCTTTTCAGAAACTATAAGAAGATTATTTTATGAAATTGGTTTGTTCTTTTTAATAATTCTCATTTTTCATTAACTGGAAGAAATAATGCTAGTTTATTATCAGTTAATTGTAATCGATGAGATGAAATTTGATTTTTGTATCTGCCCGAATATCACTGCCATTTGGACATAAATAATATCAAATGATTAAAAACAAAAAATTGAAATGAAAGAACATTTGAAAAAAGTCATGTTATCGATATCGAATATCCTGTTTGTTCTTTTTTTTGTTTTTTTGTTATCAAAGTCATGTTTCAATACACTATGGAGAAATGTTAGCTAAATGAAGTGTCAAGTGTACTTGTTGAGACTGGAAGTCTTACTTCCGGAGGCATGTCAATGACGTCCTATAAAGCAAAAAGAAAAAGAAAAAGAAATCAATTGAACTGAATGTGTTTTCTATTGATGTCATCGTCAAAGAGCGCTTGTCAGATGCATATTTTAGTAGACATTTCAATAGAAACTATGTAATCTAGATTGTACGAAACAGAAAACATTACTCTGATTATTGTCACATATTCATCGTTTTTTTCCTTTTGTTTTCTCTTGAATTAGAGTTCAAAAAAAACGTTTATTTTCTCACCTCAAATAACACTTATATGATCATAAAAATTAACCAAATATTGTACAAGCTTATTCTCCAATTGAATAAAAAGAAACATGCCTTTAGCCATAGATCAACAATTCAAAAGTTTTGTTCAACTATAAAATTGAATTCATCATTGTTATGACGCTCAATGAATGAAGCGCTCGGGGTAATAGCCTCTTTTCACTCTTTTGCAATGTATCTGCACAAACGTTGAGTACATGTCTAAAAATTGTCTACCAAATTTTAACTCCTCCCATTTCTGTCAATAATCAAGAAGTATGATTGCTGTAAAGAAAAAAAACGAAATATTCTACTTGTCCAGAAAAAAGAAGGCGTTTTGTTAGATACTTATTGTGATCACATTTCCGCTTGATCAACTATCAAACTTGACACAATATAAGGAATGTCTGCAATGCACATAATGTTCTCATTGTTAAAAGCTATAAAGTTATAATATTGATGTTTATATGATGGTAAAATGAGGCATGTTTTGGTCACAGATGGGTGTTATTCGTTCTGAAGGACATTAAAAGGCTATGTGACACCTTTTCATTCTTGACACCTTTCTCTCGGTTGATCGCCGCTCACAGCACATTTTTATTTTTTATGTTTAACGTTTATGATCCAGAGAAAAAGCGAGTGAAAGAGTGAGATGCAATAATAACAAAATATTCTTTGATTGAACACATTCAACAATTGACCATCAGAAGAAAAAACAAAACATACGGCGAGACGAAATCAATATATTGATTTAAAAAGCGAATGTATGCAACATACTCAAATCAAATCAAAACGATGTCATTATTAATCATACTAATTTCATTTATTGTGATTACACAAGCAAAAACATTGCCAAGTGATTTTATGTAAATATTGATGTGTAAAAATATATTTAGAGATCTTTAATATTTCTTTTTGAATCTTATTTAGGTTATTAGGTTTAACACCAACAACTCAAATAATTAAAGGTTTAACATGTCAATCTTATCGTTCATTTATTGGAGAAAATACTGATTATTTATGTTCAAAAATTCCTCATTTACATAGAATTCTTTATGAATCAAATATTCAAACTCATCAACAATGTCAATATCATTTTCGTAATCATCCATGGGGTTGTCAATTAAGTTCAAAAATTGTTTCATTAAGAAGATTTTTACGACAAGGTATGATTTAAATATTTTTTGTTTTCTTCTACTTATGAATTATTTATTTATTTTAAGGATCAAAAGAAGCTTCATTTTATACAACATTAGCAAGTGCAACATTAACACTGAATTTAATAAATGCTTGTATAAAAGGTCAAATTAATGATACAAATTGTTTATGTTTAAATAATCGACATTTATGTCAAACAGATCCAAATATTGCTTTTCAATTAGTATATTTAGTTACAGATGGTTTAAATATGTCAAAAAATTTTCATGAAAAATTTCTATATAAACTTAATCAAGCTAATAAACAACTTGGACGACAGGTAAAAATACATTTGAGAAAAAAAAATTCATTTCTAATTTATTATTTTAAATAGATTGTTAAAAACATGATGCATAATGAATGTCATTGTCATGGTGTTAGTGGTTCATGTGAATTACAAGTTTGTCGATTACGACCAGCTAAATTACCAGATATTAGCTATGAAATATATTTTAATATATATAAAAATGCTCATTATATACAATCAATTGATTATAATAAATTTGAAGAAAACAAAAATCAATTATTTTATGCACGAAAATCAATGAATTATTGTTACTCAAATTCATTTATTGATTATCAAAGTATACAAAAAGGTCGAGAATGTTTTAATGATCAAACATGTAAACAAGTTTGTTGTCATCGTGGTTATGAAACTTTAACTGAAATGAAATTAATTGAAAATTGTCATTGCTTTTTCTCATGGAGTATTGTTAATATTGAATGTAAACCATGTCAAAAAAAAATTACACGAATGATTTGTACATAAATTTGATTGTTTGTTTTTTTTTAATGTAAATAATCATAATTAGCAGATGAATTATTGATGTTTTTTTTTGCTTTTTAGAAATAAATATACAAAAATTTACAAAAAGAAAATTATATTTTAATTTTGTTGTTTTTTTCCGCGAGAGAATAATCTGATCTCTATTGTAGAAATCATTATAATGCCTTAAGTATACGAGTCATGATTGGAAATGATGAAAGGTTATCGGAAGTCTTTAGAAATCATGCGGAGTCAATGAAAATCACTCGAAGTCATAGGAAATCTTTAGCAATAAGATTAGACATAAACTTCTGGTTTCTAATGACTTTTATTGATTTTCTTGACTTGATGTAATAACCAATATTTCTAGTGTTTGCTCTTGATTTTTCATGATGTTTCTTCATTTCGAATAATTTCTATTGAGTTGCAGTGAATAGACAAAAAACAGATTTATAGTACTAGCAATTAATTTCTTTTACTTGCGTTATCGCATGCATTATTGAAAACCATACTAATGATTATTATTAGAAATTTGGTTTTAGTACAATCTTTGAGTTTCAGAATACAGTAGACACAAAAATTCTAAGGACATTTTTGTTTTTCAATGATGTTTGTAGTACTTTGAGATTGACTATGTGATCATCTTCTTCAGTAGTATTCAAATATGAAACATGCCGTAGGCTCAATTGATGTCATAAATATGATTGTAATACGGCATATTAATCAGCTAATATTTACAAATCATGGTAAAAGATTGTCTGTTTATGATTAGTTTATCGACGGATTAAGATTATGTAAGATGAGAAGCTCACGGTCATATGTTCAATAAGTGAATCTTCGTACTTGATTGAGTTTCTTCATATATGTGGTGATGTGAAGTGAAGCTAAGTCGAATACATCAGCTTAGAATTATATTCATTTGATAAGGTATAGAATAGAAATTTATCAAAAGGTTACTGTTAGTTATTTGGAGAATTTTGAAGAACTTCTAAACTTCTTTCCTACAATGCATGCCCTGGTAATATTTGAATAGCATAATTTTTTTTTCTTGCACTATCAAATTAATTTTTTACGATTAATAATGTATTTTACAATATACTTTTCAGAAATAAAAAAAAGCTTTTTACGAGTTTTCATCTCTTACTTAAATCTTATTGTGTAAATTTTTAAACTTATAAAAAATACAATAAGTTATAATTAATGAAAAGGTCGAGCTTTTCTAGTATTCTTTTCATGACATATAGAATTATTGAAAAAAATAAAAGAAAAAAGAAAAATGACATTAAAATATCATTCAAAATGAATAAGAAGATATGAAAATTATTGAAATAAAATCTTCTTCATTATTAATATTCATATACAACAGATCAGAAGTATTCTATAACAAAATAAAATGACATACATAAATCTAATTATTGCCTTATTAGATTTTGTTTGTCTGTAAGAATTACAACCATTGAAAAAAAAATTCAGAGATCATCTAGAAGTTTTTCGATACTTGTTAATTTATGTAGTAAAAACAAGATAATAGAATTATTTTCTTTATCAATGATTGGTGACATTGACATTGTGTTATACTTATAATAACAATTAGTAATCTAGATCATTATCTTGAACTTTAGAATATTGTTGCTTTATCATAGATCGGCATGACCTGTGGGACTTTCGTGATGATTATAATGTTTTATAAATTTTTCTAATCGTAATCGTGACTAAAACTTGGAATAGTCATTCACAAATTTTTAATTAAAAGTCTATCAATAATGAATCTTTTGTTTTCTTTTCGTCAATTATTTAGATAAATAAATTTTTTTCATTTTTCAATATACTGTCGATAATAGAATAATTTCAATTCAATCGAATGATTGTTTCGTTTCAATTTGTGTTCGAATATGAAAACAAAAAATGTCAGAAAACATACTCAATTGTCATCATGAGAAAATTTCTTGAAGGTTATTTTCTTATATATGTCTGCCATATTGTGTAGTTATTTGTCACTCTTAACAATCATGGATTCAACTTCACTCGAAAATATATATCTCTATCGTCTTCGCCATACATCAGATTCTTAGAAATTCCAGTTCTTTCATATTAATAATTATATATGATTAGATTCCTTTTATATAAGCCATATTTTTTCTCACAGTATATCTCTATTGATATTAATAAAAAAAGCATTACATTTATTATTTACATGACGAATTCAAAGGAAAAATATTTCAATAAAAAAAAAAGTGGAATCTTAGCTTATGTCTATGTTTATGACCAAGATTAGTACATTCATAATCATTACTAAATCTAGTTGATGAAATCACATTCGCTGCAGAATGAGATTCTTTTTTCTTCTGTTCATCGACGTGTGTTTATTCGAAGTTTGAAGAACTACTATAGATTGAGAGAGTGAAACAACTGTAATTCGGCACAAAGCATAGAATATAGAACACAATATTTTTTTTAAATGGATTAATTTGGTATGATCGAGGTTGTCTATTAGTGAAAGGCAAAAAAAAAAAATGTTATCTTTCTTTTTTTCAGTAGCTATGCAAATCAAGAAATATGAACGACAACAGAATTGCTCAAATATTCTTTTCAGTGACTCTATGTCAAAAAGAAAAATAAGAACAGATGAGGAAAGATATTAAAAATCACAAAAGTCATGTCTTACAGATTTTTCAGTAGGAATCAAAGCGCATTGGAGAAACAGTTACTATTACAAAAAAAAAGCAATTTTCAATTTATGAGGCCAACTTGTAACCGCGAACTATTAGAATCTTTTCTTAAAGTTGAAAATCAATATCGACTTGTTTTCCTTCAATAATTTTACGCATTCCAATAGTTTTTATTGTTAAATTGGACAAAGAAAACATTTGGAAAAATACGTGCATGTGTATTGTGAAAACGATGATAGGTAGAAAAATGTAAGTGATCAAATATTTAAATGAACAATAAATGCATAGTTTAATACGAAGAAAAGACAAGATTGTTAAGCACTCTCTAAGAAAAACATCATTTTGTCTTAATAAAAGATCTGTTATGAACTCATTTATCTTTCTTTTAAGAATGAACTCTTTGACATAGTTTGAATTTTCTATATATAAAAATACAGATTTAAAAATAAATCTTGGTTTTCGATGAAAAATAATTTGCAATGTTTTCTATTCGAATTCTTTCTGTTATATATTACTGCTTCTATTCGAAGTTTATTTTAAGAGAGATAATCAAAGACCGAATGAGATAATTTCATGTAAGAAAAGCCAGACATTGGCTTCTACACTATTAGTAATACTTGTATGTCGACTTCAAACATCAATGTAGACATATTTATATTTTGTTTTTCTCAGTAGCTTTATGTTTTTGATTTCTTCTCTCATTGGATAATCGTACTACTTCTAGTCTCAGAATGGTTTTTTTTCTTCAAACCTTTAGTCACTTACACCATGATTGTTATTAATTGATAAACATTAACAAAAAAAAATAGAGTCGCCCAGTTCAGAACTAGATTATTATGTGCATACATAGAGTATTTCTACAACTGTATGATAAATAAAACCAGAATTTGAAAACCTGAAAAATTGAAAATTTATTTCTTTCCAAGTCATTTGACCTAACCATAACTGAAGGCAAACAGGAAAGAAAATGGTTAGATTAAAGTAACGTAACCATACGCATTTTTTCTTAATACATAGCTTCTTTTTGAAGCGAGCAATATTTCTTTATCAAATGCATTTGGCTCAATTCCTTCGATTCGCATTTGTCTTGTGATATCTTTGATTTTATAGAAGAACATTTCATAGTATTATGACATAAGTACCTATAAATATTCAATCTATTCATCTCTAATGAAGTGTTGAATCGTTTGAAGAAAAAAAAAACATTATATCTGCATTAACTACAGGTATAAGAAAAGTATTTCTATTGTAATCAAATAAATATATTTCAATAAGCTGAAAACTTTCCGTATATAAGACAAACAAAATATATGATTTGCACTCATTCAATCTTACTAAATCGAATAGATAAACACATTATTTGTCAAACTAATAAATAACCCGAATACAATCATCTTCAAAGTAAAGATGCAATCAAAGTCGTGTTCATAATCAATTTATTATTTTCTTTTTGATCATTGTTCAAACAACTATTTTCAATGTCCGTTACACAAATACTTCTTTTATTAAACAAAAAAGGAAAAATTTCTTATTCTACTTTTCTTTCTTTTTTTGTCATGACACATACACACATACATATATATATATATATGTTTTTCACTATTTCTCGAAAATATCATTCGATCAAAGAAAAATAAAAGAAAAACTTCTTGTAGTGCATTTTAATTCAAAGACTCAGTTCTGCCATTTATTGAATAGACCACTAAAAATCACTTAGAATGGCTATATACCCATCGAAAATTTCTTTCATAGCCAAAAAAAAGACAACAAAAGATTCTTCTTGACCCTGACAACAAACACATACTCTTATCTATCCTCTTACATCCTGAAATGTTTTCCGTTTCATGGTTTTATTCATTTCTGGTAATCATCTATCTTCAATAGAAAAATTTTAAAAAAAAGAAAGTTATGTTTCGGATTTTTCTTTCTGTTCATATATTTCCTTTAAATCCGTTCATTTAATATCTAATTTCCATAATTAATTAGTTTATTGAAAAATCTGAGAATAGCAAATAAGATTTTTTATTTTGTTTTCCAGTAAACAACTCTTCTATTAACATAAGATTATACAATTAACAAGTTAGTTTTTCTTTTTCTTTTTCTCTTCTTATTGAAAAAACGACACTTGAACATGATAAGGATAAAAAGTTATTAATATGTACTTTTATATTTATAGTAAATGAAAAAAACAAAACCTCGAAAATTGAAATGAGTTATTATGTTAAATATAGGCAGGTTGCACCTGTTTGATAACGATTACAAACTACAATACGATCGCTAAATTACACACCAAAAAACAAAAAACAAAAAAGGCGGCATTGATTGTGATGGTAATGCAAGCATAATTAGTGAGGATGAGTTACTTGAGTATCTCGTTTGCTTATCAATAACAGAGCACAGACAAACGTAAAGAGATCGTGTTATTCTTTTGGAATTTCTCACTTTTTTTTTTCCTGTTTTTTTCTTTTCTCTTCCTTCTTTACTGTTTGCTTGCTCTTTTTTTCGTCTACTTCTCTTTTTTCATATATCTACGTGAGCGGCCAAGCGAGGGTGATTGTTGTGTTCAAGCTCGATAATAACGGCAGAGAAAGAGAAGAAGGAGGAGGAGACCAGAGAAAGAGACAGAGTTGAGAGAAGAAAGAGAGAGAGAAAGTCGATCGCCGTCTCTTATTATCATCGTTGCCGCTCGTTTGCCTGTCTAGCGTCGACAAGTTTACTCAATTCTATTTTTTTGACAGCCAATATGCGTCTCATCGTAAATGCTCGAACGATCTTTTTTCTCGAATATTTTCTTAAAAGAACTCATTTGAGTTTCTAACTGACTTGACGAAGACTATAAGAGAAGTGAAAGAGACAGAAAGCGAGAGTGAGTTAGAGAGACGGATAAACAGCATATGTGCGTGAATATATGCGTACGCGAGTTGTCAATCGTCGATGCTCATCGTGTCATTGTCACGTATCGTGCTGTTATTAATCATCCTTATATTGATTGCATTTCTAACGAACAATAGCAATTGTGATCAGGATGATAATAGTCGAACACACATTCATCGTTATTATCCACCAGAATTTCGTGCTGCACATAGTCCACCATATGATTATATCTATATACCAGGTAGATACATCAAGAAAAATAAACTTCTTCTTCTTATTAAAAAAACAAAGAAATTTAGGTGATATTTTACTTGGTGGCTTTTTCCCTATTCATCAACCACCATCGAATGAATTTGGTTCTAATCAATGTACAGCTATTAAACGTGAACGTGGTATTCAGCGTCTCGAAGCAATGTTATTTGCATTAGATGTTATTAATAATCGATCATCGTATTCAATGTCTTCGATACTTAATAAATATAATCTACGTTTCGGTGCATTAATATATGATTCATGTGATTATGAATCTTATGCAGTTGAACGTGCTCTTAATATGTTATTACCATCACTTAATCAATGTATGTCATTAACTAAAGAAAACCATTCATCATCATTTATTGCTGGTGTTATTGGTAGTGCCTCAAGTATTGTTTCAATGGCGATTGCAGACATTCTTCGTTTAGCTGAGGTATTTTTCAAAAAAAAAGCTTTGGCTTGAGAAATTCTCTTGTAAAGGAAAGAAGAGAAAAAAAAAAGAAACGTGACAATTTAATAGAAATCTATATTATAAATGACGGTTCCGCTGTAGAAGATATCTATCTATTTTCCGGTAGCAACATTTAAAAAACATAACTTTTTTCTTAATTACTGGTTTCATTGATAATCATGTTTTTTTTGCACTAAATAGATTCCGCAAATATCCTATGCGTCAACAAGCACGGAATTAAGTCAAAAACCACGTTTTCAATATTTTTCACGCGTCGTTCCGCCCGACACATATCAAGCAGAAGCTGTCAGTATTTATAAATCCATTAACATTAGTTTTTATGTTTTCATTCGTGCATATCCTTCGCTCTGTTTTCTTTTACAAACTCTAGGTGGTCAGTATTATTCAATTTCTCAATTGGACTTATGTTGCTGTTATTAAAGAAACTGGTTCCTATGGTGAACGTCTGACAGATGATTTTAAATCAAAACTAAAAAATAAAAGTAGATCTTTTGTTTCTATTTAATCTAAAAAGAATAAAAAAAAAATATATAAATAAATAATGCTTTTCCTCTTTTTTAAAAAGCAATTTGTATTGCCGGTGAATTGTCAGTTAATATAAAAGATTCCAATTCTTATGTACGTGTTATAAAAGAATTATATGATGATGAAAAATATCGTTTTGTTGTTGGTGTTATCGTTTTTGCACAAGAAGATTCTGTTAGGTAACAGAACAAAAAAAAAATGTTTATTTAAAATATTCCAATAAATAAATATAAATATGTGTAGGCAAATACTCAATCAAACATCACATAAACAATTAAATGGTCGATGGGTTTTTCTTGGTACAGATGGTTGGGGAAAAAAATGGTATCCAGTAGAAAATTTTGGACGTGCTGCTATTAATGCAATAACAATAGCTCCAAAATTATATTTAATTTCAGGTAAACAAAAAACAAAACAATATATTCTTCTATGTTTATTATTTTTTTGCTTTGTAGAATTCGATAATTATTTTAATAATTTAAAACCATCAAAAAATACTCGAAATCCATGGTTTCGAGAATATTGGGAGGAAACATATAAATGTAAATTTGAAGAAACACCAAAAACTATATTTAATCAAAATTATACACGTTTATGTTCAGGTATGTGTTTATTTTTGTTTTTCTTTTGTTAAGTAATAAATATTCTTATGTTTATTTAGATATTGATAGTACATATACGAATTTATCTGTACCGTATTTTCAAGAAGGTTACGTTCATTATGTTGTTGATGCTGTATTTACACTTGTAATTTCTATACAAAAATTAATTGATGAAAAATGTCCAAATTCTTCATTGATTAAACCATTATGTAAAGAACTTTTTCCTTTTGATGGAATGAAATTAATTACAATTTTGCGTAATGTTACTTTTCGTAATGGTTAGACAATTAAACATTAAAAAAAAGTTGTTTTTGTTTTTCTATTTATAAATTTTTATTATTTTTTAGAATTATCAAAACGTATTATTAAATTTGCAAAAAATGGTGATGGTATTGGAACTTATGATATCTTTCAATATCAAATGATAAATTCCACTGATACACTTGATTATTTTACTATTGGTGAATTTAGTGATAGTGATCAAAGTAATGAAAGGTAAAGATTATTATTATCATGACAATCTTGGGACTGGTTAATAAATGATTGTATCTATTTTGTAAGAAGATCTTGTCGTTTGGAAATTCTTAATAGAATATGACTTGTATGTAAGAAGCATATTATCAGTCAAGAAAAGATAATCATTGACAAAGTCTATTTGAAAACATGCAATTATGAAGATCATAGCATAAAGCTATAATTAGTTGGAAAAAAACAGTTTACATTTATTTTTTTTAACAACGATAGTTAATCACCGGATCTGTTTTTAAAACGAGCTTTTAACAGAAAAAGGATAATTATATTCTTGGAAAGCTAAAATATTCATAGATAGGACGCTTAAATCCTAGTCTTTTATTTTTAGATTTTATTCTTATAAGCAAACAAACGATCGTATAACATTTCAACGTTAGTCTTAAATGTTCTCAAAAAAAACCTCTTCCGAACACTTCTAGTTCGTTACATTGAGTGAATTATTTCTTCATCAAGATACTAATGAATATACCTGTAAAATATTCCATTAACAGCCATACTGATTCACATTGCATGTTAATATTCGAATTTAATAAAAGTTGTTCTTTACCTCGGAATAAATCTTATTATATCTGAAAATTGCATGATTATAGAAACATGACTTCTACGTCTTAACGTAAAGGTAATGAATACTTGTTGAAGCAGAGAAAAATCGATCCGTTGAATAAATGAGTCATTAAATAAAAAAGAAAAGCTTTTTGTTTTTCTCAAAAACTTATGTAACATATTCTTATGCGTAAAAGTTTAAGATGAAGATTTTGAATAAAAATATCGTGCAAAATAGACTATCAGATATATATTTCATATATTGGAGTAAACTGTAAACGAATTTGAAGACATAACATTTCTAAAACGAATATTTGAACTTTTTAAGATAGAATTTTCATTTAATATGTTAACCTTGACATTTTCTTTTTAATTTTCGATCAATCTCTGAATATCATAATGAGTTTAGTCTATCATAAATAACTTGTTGTTATGCAGATATACACGTAACAGTAAAGGAATAAATAATTTCTCTCGAGATTGATCAAGGATTCAAAAACAAAAGAAACAATTTAAGCTTTTAATATCACACTAAAATAGCATGTGTCCCATGTGTCGTACTTCGCAACATAATGTATAGCATATTAAAGTGCAACACATTTTATTCAATAACGGTGCGACAAATGTTATAAACGTGTTTCGAATCCATTCTGCAACATATTTGTTATTTTTTCTGCACCAAAGAATAATTACAATTTTTCTAGTTTCGTTCGAATAAGTAGTACATGTTGTTAAAACTCAAGACTATTAGATCTGGAGATCTAGGCATCCGTTGTTTTTCTTATGTCGGTCTTTCAACATGTTCTTAATCAATAAAAAAGAAAAGACATGAAAATATATAAGCTTATTATGTTCAATTGAGTTGGTTATAATTAGGTGTATGTGAAAAACAAAACTGAATGAATAATTAACAGACAAACACGACACGTTTCATGTCATTCATATCTGAATGGAAATTTCAAGCTGAAATGTTCAAGTCTCAAACTTTTTTTTTTCTAGGGTTTCTTCATCATTTTTTAATATTCTATTAAATCTTGATTAAAATGCTTTTTTGTTCTTTATGTATAAGCAAATAATAATAAAATTATCTTTGTACTATGTTTTTCTTTAATAAGTAGAGTTCGTATTGATCTTCAATCATTAAAATGGTTTAAATATAATCATGAATCATCTGAATGGTCTGAAACTTCGATAACACCTCGATCATTTTGTAGTGAATCTTGTCACTCAGGTGAAATACGTACAAATACAGATTCTCAACAATGTTGTTGGACATGTCGTGCATGTGAAGTATTTCATATAGCTGTCAATGAAACAATATGTTTACCATGCTCACAAAAAGAAATACCAAATTTAAATTTTTCTAAATGTATATCTATTGCCGAAGAATATCTATCTATACATAATATAATAGCATGGCCTGCATTAATACTTTCATCAATTGGTATTTTAATGACAATATATACAATTGTGATTTTTATACGTTTTGCTCAAACACCAATTATCAAAGCATCATCACGTGAATTAAGTTATTTTCTATTATCTGGTATATGTTGTTGTCATTTATGTGCATGGCCACTTATACTTAAACCACATTTATTAACATGTTTATTTATACGTATTGGTGTTAGTTTAAGTTTAACTATATGTTTAGCTGCACTTTTAACAAAAACAAATCGTTTAGCACGAATATTTAATAATAGTCAACGTTTAACACAACCATCATGTCTTTCACCACGTTCACAATTAGGTATATGTGGTGGAATTGTTAGTGTACAATTAATAGGTGTTCTTCTATGGATAATTATATCACCACCAGCAGTTAAATTAAAATCTGAATTAAAACATAATCAAAAACGTTTAATATTAGTTTGTCAAACCGATAATGAATATATAGCTTGTTCATTAATTTATAATATGATACTTGTTATATCATGTACATTATATGCAATTAAAACACGACATATACCAGAAAATTTTAATGAAGCTAAACATATTGGTTTTGCTATGTATTCTATATGTATTATTTGGTTGGCATTCATACCAATATTTTTTGGTTTAAGAAGTAGTGATAATTGGTTTCGTGTAAGTCAAGACAAATTTTCTGAACAACAAAATTTTAAATAACTTTATTTTTGTTAATTAGATTCAATTGGTTAGTCTTGCTATTTGCCTTAGTTTATCAGCTACTGTTATACTTTTATGTTTATTTGCACCTAAATTATATATAGTTCTTTTTAATCCGTCCAAAAATATACATGTGAAATTCAAAACAACATTATCAACACCACCAGCATCAATTGAACGTCCAAGCACAAGCAATAATCTTGATGAATTAGCAGCAGCTGCTAATCGTCGTCGACGACATACATCAACAGATTATACGACTGAAGTTTCATTATATACTTCAAAATCTGATAGTTCAGCTCTTAATATAAATGATGAAGCTATTCAAACAGGTAGTGTCATTGGTGGTTGTTCAATTTTAAATGGTGCATGTACTGATGCTGAACGACATCAACAATATCAACATACATGTACACATGATGATGAAACAACAGAATTTTTATCAATATCTAAACAACGTATGCCATCAAATTATCTTCAACATTCACCATTTAAACCTGTATCATCAAATTTAGTTACAACAGCTGAAAATCCATGGAAAAAATTAAGTAATGTTCGATACAAACTTGATGGACATGGTAATAATCAATGTGATCAAACACATTATCATCATGTTCATGCACAACATATCACTTTTGTCTAAAGATTTTGTTTCTCTTTGTTTGTTCTCATATAAGGTGTTTTAATTTTGTCATTAAAAATAAATACACGATATTGAATCAAGACTTAAAATCAAAAAAAACTAACTTAATCCAAAAATGAACAAGGAAAATATTCCAACTATAAAATAACTTGTTTTGTTTTTGTTATTAATATCATCATAATAATGATGTAAAGATTTTCTAAAATTGTTCTATATCAAGCTGATTTTCAAAATTAAATAAATCTTTTATCTATTTTTGTATTATAGAGCGCTTAGTTGTCGATAGACGAATAATTATTTCAGGGTGAAATATATCTTTGTTGTTAAAATGTTTTTTTTTATAATAATTATAGCCTTTTATAGCATTTCGCTTATTGATAGCTTGCAGAAAAATGTGGATGAAGAATATAATTTAAGACTATTCGAACGTTAAAAGTAAATCTATTATGTCTACTCTCTAATTTTGAAAGGATAATTATTTCCTTGATTTATAGCTGACAATTATAGCCATTTAGCAAAGGTCATATCTTGTAATACAAAAAATTCACTGTATATTATGCAGCTTTTTCAACCTTCAACAATTTATAATCACACTTAGAAATCATTTGAAGGTTTAAAAAGTATTTCGATAAGAAAAAAGAAAGATTGTTTTGGACAATCAAGTGAATTGAAAAACTTCTCAGAAGACTTATGCAGGTCTTTTCTATAATGATATTCGAAATCACCATAGTTGGTAAACCCAACACCTGACTATAATTTGATATTCCTGGTGAGTCCCGTGAGAAAGGATGAAACTATTCGTAGTATTCTTTAACATAATACTCACACTCAACTTTCAAAAGACTTTTACAATCATATTCATCACTAGAATTTATTGAATTTAATTATGATCTTAACTTGAATTCAAAAACTTCTCCTCTGGATTCGTTTCTTGGACAATAAATGCGGTGCAATGTTGACCTTGATTACCTTTCAATGAACAAAAAAACAAAATCAATCAACCGGTATAAAAAATGAACAAGAAATTTAAACATAAAGTATGCTCGGATATACTACTCGACTCGTCTGTGTGACGCATTATATGTGAGAGAAATCACCATAGGTTGCCTTTTACTAAATGTCTTTATCATTACGCAAAGCATAAATAATATTTTCTCATATTCGTCGAAAATAACGATTCGGAGAAATTTTTTGAAGAAAATAGAAACTCGGAACAATTTAGTATTTACTCAAGCAAAGAATGCTTGCGTAAAACACAAATACGAAACTAAAAAGTAGTATTGGCCAACAATTTCTTGTCTTTGTGATTTGTTGCAGTAACATTTATTGTACAAATATCGACGACGATCAATGCGCAGATGTGCGGGCATGAAATCGCTAGACTGCTACTATGGTCGAATAGCATGTAACATATAGTATACAACATGTGGCTTTAGCTACAGTGACTGTGGTGGTGGCGAAGTTGGGTCGCGATATTGATGCTATCGATAAGCAAATGGCTATGGTAGAACGAAAAGGATGACATGAGATTCTTTTTTTCGAAATATCTATCCTATTTTTATTCAATAAAATATGGATATATCATTAAAAATTTCTTATCTAGAAGAGATCGCACAAGAACAACTCCACAAGACCTCAACCGTGTTGTCCCCAAGTGATCGGTAACAATCTACAATGTACTTTACGAAACGTCCCTAATTTTTTGTCTTTGAAGAAATGTCCTTGAGCAATGGTCCTTCCTGTAAATATGTCCCTCATCCTCTATTGTTGTTGTGAAAAAATCATATTACAAGACGATGAATGTAGATGTGAATCCGCTCTTTATTTTCATCCACACTCGTACATTCACATCGGTCAGTAGTTTCTGAATGGATCAACTTGAGTTAAAGAAAAATCAATGAAATTTATACTAGATAGTAGATCTAAATTAGAGTTGCGCGTAGGACAGTAAGAATTCTTATTCTACTTTTTGATCACCAAAATATATAACTCCTAATTAGTTATTCTATGGCTAATTTATTTTGTATCATTTTCAAAAAAAAAATTAAATTTCTCACTAATGACTAATATTATAAATATAATAAAATATACCAAAATCTTGATTTACTATTATCATGACACGTTCATCACAGGAAATAAATATAGAAAAAAATTATAAACACATGGAGTTTTATCATCAGTATATTAATACACAATAGATACTATTAATAAAAACAAATAGAACACAATCATAAAAAGAAAAAGAAAATATAAAAATTAGAGTTGGACACAGAAAAATGTTTTCTGTCTTACTGTCTTACTCCGTCCTGTCCTGTGTTCATCTCTGATCAAAATTGCTTCGGTCTATAATAAAAATTCCAAAATATTTGCTTCTCTCATTGATAAGAAATAGATGTTACAATGTTAAAAAAAAAACAATGAAAAATTCCACAATTCTTGGCTGCGTTGAGATGTAATTTCGATGTATAACGACATCTATCCTTTATATGAAGAATTCTACAAGTGATTAATTGAAGAATAATGACTGGTTGCACTCAATTGTTTGTTTTCTTTTCTAGAACAAATCAAAAACGATTAATTATTTATTTGTTCTCGACTAGCGAATAGACGCATAGGATTTTTAATATGATTGGAAAGTCACGTTCATATTTCATTTGTTGTTTCAGATTAAATCATAATTGTTATGTTAGTTGGATGCCTGAAAGTGTTGCTCGTAAACGCTTGACTGCAATTGCTAAAAACGTCAGTACGTGTTCGACACAGGTGACAATCAGTCATAAAATTATATATCATAATCATATTCTCTTTCCCTCCATTAAGGCTACAGCATACGCTGCTTGCGTTATCAATCATAGTGATTTAAAAAAAGATTCGTGTTTAAAAGAATTTCTTGCTCTTAAAGATTGTGTACAAAAAGCTGTAAGTAAATCTTTTCCTATTTTTTTAAAGCAATCTATTTGTTTTATATTAGGCATTAAAAAATGGTTAAATATTTTATTTCTATTTTACTTTATTTCATTATCATTACATTTATTCATGCATCCCAAGAATCACTTTCCCTAAATCCTTCAAATGAAAGTGTTGGTTCATATAAAATTGAAGGTAAAATAATCGTTCCACCAGGTGATAATGCACTTGAAAATACAAGAATATTAATTGATGAAGGTCTTTATGTTGGTATTCCACAAGTTGATGGAACATTTATCATATCTGGTATATTCTTCATTTACTTTTTTTTTTAAACTAAATTAAAATATTCGTTTGTTTTTTTTTTAGGTGTTCCAAGTGGTTCATATATTGTTTCCGTTGTATCACCTTTACATGTATTCGAACCAGTTCGCGTTGATATAAATGCTAAAGGTAAAATTCGTGCACGTAAAGTTAATTTTATTCAACCAGGTGAAGTCGTTACAATGAAATATCCATTAAATTTTGAAACACATGGTATACCAAGTTATTTTCAAAAACGTGAAGTTTATCGTTTAACAGATGTTATTATGAATCCAATGTTTTTAACATTACTTATACCATTAGCATTATTATTAGTCTTACCTAAATTAGCTTCACAAGATCCTGAAATGCAACGTGATTTACAACAAGCTAGTAATTTTCTTCAACCAAATATAAATACACCTGATATAGGTGATATGTTTGCAAATTTTTTTGGTGGACCAAAAAAACAAAAACCAACACAGCAACAACAAAATCAAAATAATGGTGCTAATAGTGGTTTATTAACAGCACAACAAAAACGAAAAAATGAAGGCATTAATAAACGAAGAAATTAACATTTCTGTTGTTTTTTTTTCTTTTTTCCTATTTTAAATAAAAGTAACTCAGAAAAAAAAAACAATAAATTCTTCTTGTTTCCTTTTTTTTATGAGATTATTCGACATAAACCATATTCACTAAGTAATAATGCCATATCCTTATCAACATGTATAGTACAATTAAAAAGTGCTGTTATTGATCTTAATTGTGCATCTTCACCCATTTTTCTATATGTACCATGATAGATTAATTCATTATTATTTATGGATGGTATTTGTAATTCTAATATACAATGTTTACCAGTTATAGTTAGTAGAATTATATGACTATTTGTTGTTGGTATTTGTGAAAATGATATTATAACAGATGATTGAAATAGATCTTGTTTTATATAACGTGTTATTTGTAAACGTCGACGTTTATGTATTTCAATAATATTAGCATCAAGTTTTGTTTGATTTTGTTGATTTCGTTTTAAAAATAAACGTAATTCATTTAAATTTCTATGCCAATACATTTTTAATGGATTACGATTATTTATTGTTAATGTTGTTTGTTCATTTGAATTTGTTAATAGAATTTCACTTGGTAAACAATGTATACGTAATGGAAGATTAAGAAGTGAATATAATTTTTCTTGACAAAGATTATAATCATTTTGTTGTAACTCATTTAATGGTAATGGTACTAACCAATTATCGATATTCATTAATTTTACTTTTTTTTTTTTTATTAAAGAAAAATAAATATGTTGTCTGGGTGATATTTATTTTCTAGATGAAACAGTTATCCTTAAAACATTTTATTGTACGTTCACAAGTTATTGCATTATATAGAGATATTATGAGAACATTAATGAAAATTGATGATCAAGGTTATAGAAAAGAAAGTTTGTAAGATAGATAATTTAGTATTTTGTTTTAGTTAATTACTTTAATTTTTTAGTGCGAGATTGGACCAGATATGAATTTAATCGTTATAAAACATTAACAGATTTAGGAGAAATAAGAACACAAATAGCATTAGGACGACGACATTTAAATGAATTAAAATTAGCGATGCAGATGGCTTCTTAATTTTAGATGCTTGCTTTTTGTTTTTTGTAATGTTTCGTTCTTTTGTTTTGCTTTTTTACTATTGTAGATGAGTACAGAAGGAAAAGAAGAAACAACAGCAACCATTCCATTACATCGTCAGGTAAAATATTCAACTGTTGTTTTACGCATGAATTAGTAAAGTTTTCTTTGCTGTCTGAAATCTTTTTTTTGCTCCAGAACAATCGATCTACCTCAAAATTTGAAGAAGTGTGTGTTTAACTGCAGTAAACCCAGTGGCGGATCTAGAATTTTAGAAGGGGAGGGCGATTTTCGAAAGATGCGACGGTTATAGACAAAAATCACTTTTTGAGACTTATGCGAGGTAGTAAAAGCCAGTTGTTCTTACGTTTTTGCTGAGAAGAAACAGAAAAAATCTCTGGAAGGGGGAGGCGATCGCCTGATCGCCACCCCCCTAAATCCGTCACTGAGTAAACCTATAGTAAAAACTTATTCAAAAAGACATACGTTTTTTAAAATACCTTCAATATTTCAGTTTTTTATTTGAAGCACAAAAAAATAGCAGACTATCCCAAAACTTTGAGTCTATGACAACTTGTGTTCTACTTGTCAAGATCTATTTGTTCTGCAACTTTCAAATTTTTCTGATGAGTCGTTCTCGAAAAATCTAGAGAAGCATGGAAGAGGTGCTATCTTTAGAGGTAAACTTCAGATAATAATTATTTGGTTTTATTATTTTTGTTACTCAAGGAATTATTAAAATGGCAAGGTTGGGGTTACCGTGATAGTCGATTTTTTCTTAATTCAAATGGTTTAATTGAATTTTCTGGTTCACGTTATTTATTAAGTGGTCATGTTCTACCACGTTTAAAAGATTGGATGTTAAATAAATTACGTGCCAGTATCGATAATTATTCACCAAGTGTTCAAGAACCAAATCCTGATTACATACCTGAACCAATTATTAATAATTCATTTGTAAATGATTTTCAATCAACTCTTGGTACAACTGTTCCATATTCATCAGATATGAATGATCGTCTTTTTCATGGTCATGGACATACACTTGAAGAAATATGGAAATTACGAAATGGTGGAAAATTTGATCGTTTACCCGATTGGGTTGTTTGGCCACGTCACCATCATGATGTAGAAAAAATAGTTAGTTTAGCTGTTAAACATAATATTTGTCTAATACCATTTGGTGGTGGTACATCAGTTACATGGGCATTACTTTGTCCAACTGATGAAAAACGTATGATTGTTAGTGTTGATACATCGCAAATGAATAAAATTCTATATTTGGATGAAAAAAATTTAACAGCACGTATTCAATCGGGTATAATTGGACAAGATCTTGAACGTGAATTAGCAAAAAAAGGTAAAAGAAATCATTTTTAGTTTTATTTTCATTTTAATTTTAATATTGACTTTTTAGGATATTGTACTGGACATGAACCAGATAGTATGGAATTTAGTTCATTAGGTGGTTGGGTAGCAACACGAGCATCAGGAATGAAAAAGAATGTATATGGAAATATTGAGGATTTAGTTGTTCATATAACAATGATAACAGCTAAAGGCACAATTGAAAAAAGTTGTTTAGGTCCACGACAATCAACTGGACCTGATATTCATCATGTTATAATGGGTTCTGAAGGTATTCTAGGTATTGTTACTGAAGTAACAATGAAAATTCGACCATTACCAGCTTGTAAAAAATATGGTTCAATTGTCTTTCCGGATTTTGAATCGGGTGTTGCATGTTTACGTGAAATAGCACGTTTAAGAAGTGCACCAGCATCAATACGTTTACTTGATAATGAACAATTTCTATTTGGACAAGCATTAGCTACTGATAATAAAGGAATGTTACATTCATTAGTTGATAATATTAAAAAATTATATATTACAAAAATTAAAGGTTTTGATATTAATCGTATGTGTGCAGCTACATTACTTTTCGAAGGTACAACGAATGAAGTTAATCAACGAGAAAAATTTGTTTATGATATTGCACAAAAATATAATGGCATACCAGCTGGTAAAGATTTATGTTGTTTTTCTAGTGTAGATAAGTCTCATTCTAATGATAAAAATGATCTAATCCGAATGTCACATGAAATGAAACAAATGAAATTTTTCGAGATTGTCTTGCAAGACTTGAGTGTAAACTTTGTTATGATTTTCAAATATGCGAAAGAAACTAATCTAAGCTTAATATTTTATTCTTGACGATGAGTAATTGAAATGTCTTGTCAGTCTAAAATCTAAGAAATTGTCTTTCTTTGAGAAATGAATGGGTTTTTTAGTATTTCATTGGAAAGACTTACTGCAAGTTTGTTTTGAGACTTTGATGACGTAATTCTTGAGCTATGAAAAAAAAATGATGATTTTTATCTTTCTTTTTTTGTAATGTTAGAAACCATAAGTTATAATATGATTGTTATTAAAAATTATCGATAGTTTCCTAATTGAAAATGTTTAGTGACATTCTAATATAATTTTTTGAATCTTCATACATATATAAATAATCAATCTTATTTAGCTATTAAGATCAAACCTATTCCGAAAAAATTCTCAATTGAATTTATTTTCTCTTATTTCAGGTGAAGAAAATGGTTTGAAAGGATATACATTAACTTTCATGATAGCCTATTTACGAGATGTTGGACTTGATTATCGAATTGTTGCTGAATCATTCGAAACATCTGTACCATGGGATCATGTCATTGGTAAACGATTGTTTTCGTTCTTTTGTATTCTTTAAGTTTTAAATAATTCTATTTTTAAAGATTTATGTCGTAATGTTAAAAAACGCATTATAACTGAATGTGAAAAACATGGTGTTAAATATCCACCATTTTCTTCTTGTCGTGTAACACAAACATATGATGCTGGTGCTTGTGTTTATTTTTATTTTGTTATGAATTATAATGACATACGTCATGGTAGTGATCCAGTTCATGTCTATGAACTAGTCGAACAAGCAGCACGTGATGAAGTATTAGCTAATGGTGGAAGTTTATCACATCATCATGGTGTTGGAAAAATTCGTACTAAATGGATAAAACAAGCTGTTAGTGATCTCGGTGTTGGTACAATGACGTCAATAAAACAATATCTTGATCCAAATAATATATTTGGTTCAAAAAATTTAATACCTGAATCAACAGAATCAAATGAACATCTTAAAGCTAAACTTTAAAAAAGAAATAAACAGTGATGAAAAAAAAACGATCGATAATTGTCTTCTTTTTTTAATTGTGTGTGTGTGTATGTGCTTAAACATTTCATAATATAAAACAACAACTCTAATTAGGAAAATCAATGTTTATCAATGTTAAACTGTTTTCTTTTTTTATCTTATTGCATTGATTGTTTAAAAAAATACGTATCTACTTCCTCAAATAAAAAAAAACAAGCATATGTACCAAGATTTCTTTTTTTTTAAAGATTACTATGACATCAATTCGACAGTTTAAATTATTAGATCTTTTACGAATTAATAATGTGTAAGTAATATTTGATTTGAATTGTTTATATGGAGATGAATTTGACTTTTTTTTTGGTTTAGGAATTTAGATATTTTTACAGAAAATGTGAGCGAAAAAAAAGGGAAAGGATGAAATTAAAAAAAATTGACTCTGTTTTGTTTTAGTATGGCCTTTCATTTTATTTACATTATTTAGCACGATGGCCAGAATGTTTTTTTGTAGCTGAAAACTCTGCTCAAAGATTAATGGGATACAGTAAGTTACATATAATTCTCATATTTTAAATAAAAATAAAATTACAAAAAATGCTTTTTTTCTAATTAAGTTATGGGAAAGATTGAAGGTAAGGCTTTTTTTATATTTATTAAGCGAAATTTTTTATTTTTCTATTCAAGGCAAACAAGAAAATTATCATGGCCATGTAACAGCTTTATCTATAGCACCGGAATTTCGTCGTATAGGAGTATCATCACAATTAATGGCATTGTTAGAAAATGTTTCCGAACAGTAATTTAACATATTTTTTAAAATTCTTATATTTGAATATATATATATATTTATATAGGAAAAAGACCTATTTTGTTGATTTATTTGTTCGTGTATCAAATAAACGAGCTGTTGATATGTACCATAAATTAAATTATGTTGTATATAGGCGAATCATTGGATATTATTCTGGTGAACGAGACGAAGATGCATTTGGTAAAATATACAACCTATGTTGCAAAAGTTTTAATACAAAAAATATTCACTCATTTTCCGAAAAACTAGTTAAAACCAAAAGCATTAAATTAGTGTCCGTCTTTCACTCTTTCCAAACAAATGTGCAGAGTTTCGTTTTGAGATAAGATTTGAAAACTATCATCAGATTATTTCCAACGGCCAAAAATAGTAGTTGTAGACAGAATATAATTTTGTTCATTTTTGGATTTCAATTGAAATCTATCATCTTCAAAATATGAAATAGTTCTATAAATGCCACAGTGTTGCAGAGTAAAGTGTGCTCTACAAAGCGTACTATTTATTCTTGCACGACAGCAGTGGCGGATTTAGGGGGGAGGCGATTAGGCGATCACCACCCCCTTCGAAAATTTCATGTATAAGAAAAATTATATTTAGTCATATAGATTTGTTTAATACTTCATGTAACGAAAGAA